TGTGGCGCTGCCGTGATATCTGATTGTCTATTCAGGGTCGTGTGTACTGCACAGCAGTTTGTTCTGTTCTATTGCATGGCTGTTAAACATGGCCATTGATGTTGGAAGACATGAGAAGACTTCAGGTGTTTGATCACCGTTGCCTTCGAAGTATAGATCGTATTCCGTGGTGTCACCACGTGAGTAATCCAGTAGTTAGGTGTAGAGTTTTAGGAAGAAGAAGTAAATCAGTTGACATGGTTGTGAACCTTCATCGACTGAGATGATTGAGACACTTGTTACGTATGCCTAGTTGGCGTCTGCCTTGTCACACAGTATTGACTGAAGTAGGTTCAGGCAGGAAAAAGGTCCGAGGTGACCAGACTAAAACATGGCATCAATGTATTAAGTCTTTGACTGTTGGTTTGAGCCATATGGCACGATGCAGACTAGCTGGTTGGGGTCCGTGGGACAAGAAAAACCAGTGGTTGGAGACTCTAGATGATCACATGGCTCAGAATCGAAGTCAGTGGTGCAGATGTATGCAGACATTATCCTCATCTTGACGAAGATGTATCAAATCTCACCATTTTCTCATTCTTCCTTTCTCTCTTTTATCGTTTTATATTTCTTTTGGCTGAATTTTCTTTTCTTAATCTTCCACTTCACCACCTTTTTACTTGATGTACTGATATGAGCTGTGGCAACTCGAAACGTTACGCAGTAATGCCTGGTCTTATGTTGATGATAATGAGATGAAATAATTATATCATCTCAGTAATGTTAATAGTGAAAGTATTACAAGCAATAATCTGCAAGGACCAACTGTTGTTAGGTTCAATGTTTAGATTAATGTAATGGCATACGTAAGTTTGGTGTTGTTGGTTCAGTCAACCAGCACGAAAATCTTCAGTCCAACCTAACTATTCCAGGAATAGCTACGTGATATACTGTTGTGCGTTTAAAGGCACACTGCAATCTGCCGTGTTTTTTTCTTTATTTTATTATTAACTTGCAAAACGTCAGTCTCAAACATTTTTAAAATACACAAGACCATATTGTATAATTTGAAGGTATTCAAATAATTAAAACAATTCCAGTGTAAGGAATTTTATGTAATATATTTGGAGGAAGCTTTTCGGTAGGCTAAGCTTTGAACCAGCCACCTAAACAGATTAGTACTTAGATAATATGACTCAATATCATTTTTCGCTCATATTAAAGTTGCATTTAATAACCTTGTTTTCATATTTATCCTCATTTATGGGAAACTCCCTATAGTGGCATCTCTCCTCAGATCCCGGATTCAGACCTCGCTGCACTTTATTCGACTTTGACTATCAGATAGTGCAGTCCTTACCCAGCACGTGTGGCTTGTAGCTCCTACATATACTGGGTTGAATTGCATTATACTTATTGTTTTTTATTCCTTGTCAAGGAATCGTTGTTTTAGCTTAGATTTTCTGAACTACTTTTGTTTACTTTAGTCCGTCTGTCAAAATTACCAGGTTTTCTATATCGATTCGACGCTAACTTTTGTTGCTTTTTAAATCATGCCCTAAGTGAAGAGAAAAATTTCTTCAACTTAGCACAAATGTTGAGGTTCCATTGCCTTTCGCCAACTTAAGCAACCCATGGTGCTGATGAGATATTTGAAAGCCAACTAAAAGTCTCATGTACGGCCTAACAGTTCATTTTATGGTACACAGTGATAATGAAACATGTCATAGTAGAGATATGAAATGGTTCAAGTATTTAACTATCGTTGTCGTTTTTCACGTATCTATGAATCACCACGTCGGTAATATATAGGTTGGTCATAGAATCCTGGGCAAAAGAGGGGAGTCAATTTAGGTGGTCTTAAAACTTGTTCCACAGAGGTGGCAGGAGATGTGTTACTCGTATCTACTCGTCTCCCACCTCAGTGCGCAATGTTGGTAGAGTAAAGTTAGTCGGGAAAAGGTTAAAGATGAATAGACTAAAATGTGGCATCAATGCATGAAGTTCTTGACTTTTGGTCTGACACGTGTAGAGGGAATTTAAGTTTCTAGGTTAGGATTCACAAAACTAAAACTGATGATTGCAGACTCTAGTTAATATGGTTCAAAATCGTTTGTAGTGATACAGTTGCTTTAGTATCTCCGTTTTCGTCCGAATCATCACTATTGAATACCGTTATTTGTTTTAACTTATCCTGTTTTTTATGGCTTTTGCAGATTTTGATAATATCATTTCCCATTTCTTTCCTTTTCGTCTTTTTATCTGGGACCTTGATGTGAGGTGTGGCAACTTAAAATAAAATACACTAATGTCAGTGATGTATGTGGTGTTGGAATGCTTTACCTATTCCATTATTTCTCAGAAGTTGCGTCACTTCTAATGTTCTAGTTGCTAAAAGAAATTTCATAACAGATAGGAGACGTCTGTTTGGCATTTTGTTAAACTTTTTCCATCTATGTGTATCACTGGTGGGATATCCGCATGTTTTTATCAAATGAGGTGTGTTTTGGAAAGAAATCCACCGTTCTTTTGTACAACTTTAACATCTGGCTGTTTAGAATGAAAAAAGGAAATGGCTGCAAGTTTTTATCAGCAGTGCTTCCATAACATTGCTTGCATTTTCTGGAAACACTGAGTGAACGATGTCAAGGTTGTGTTGAGATAGGCAACCACCGACCGAGGTGGTTGGTATATATATTGCGTATATTGAGCCACTGCCTATGTCAGAGCGCCATGTTAGTCGACGTAGGATTAATTTAGAAGGAAGTAAGGAATGACTATACTAATACATGCCTCCAGTTCATACGGCCTCTCATTGTTGATTTAAACCATGTGGCCTATATGGCTGAGATCATTTTAATGTTAAGAGTCAATGATATGTGAGTCTGGTTTTACTTATCTTCTTTCATCGATTTTGTCTAATCACATACTTACCACCTGGTTGAATATCTTTCTCTCTTTTTTCTCTCGTTTTGCACGGTTTTATGAATTGTGTCAACTTAAACTGATACACTTCTGCATAAGTTACTTTACTTTTCCTTTTATATATCAGAATGTTTTTATTGACATTTCCTTAGTATGTTTTTTCATGATCGTGTTTTCAGTTCGGCTTGTGATGTCTTGGTGTTTGTGAACCTTTGCTAATATTCAAGTACTTTGTCACGTTATCGCACATCCAGAATTTATGTAAAGCTGCAAAGTGGGTTAATCTGAATACGTACTTGATTTTCGCTCAATCACTTCCGGATTCAAATTTCGCTATAGGGTAATTCGGTTGGGATAAATGATAGTTCTTCACATAATAAGTGTGACTCCTTAGCTTAGGACATAGATTTCTAGTTGAGCTTGAGCTGTAACATTAGTTTCAAACTGTCAGATGCAGTAAAAGACTAGATAAGGAGTCCGTTTGAACTTTAGTGAGTTTTCGGTTTACGTCATGATATGTTGACCATTTAAACTATGATGTTAACCCTTGTTCATCGACATTCTGTTTTACACTTAAAGATGAATATTGAGTTTCAGATGTCACTCTGTCTGTAAGTTGTTGGATTACGGGGTAATTTAAACCAGTAGATTAGTTTTATTGTATGATAGTTATTTCAAATAAAAGATCAATTTTGTTTCGCTTTTTACTAGGAAGATACTTTCTGTGAGTTAATTTACTAGTTCGGTGCATGTGATTGATCTACATTTTAGTGGTACTGAGAGAGAGAGGGGGGCGTGCCTGAGAAATTTCTTAGCATCTTTAGATCTCTATATAATAACATCCCATGTAGAGTGAGGGTATGCAACCACCTATCTCCATTGTTCCAAACCAGCAGTGGGGTTGGGCAGGGTTGTCCGATTTCTCCATTCCTCTTTAACTTTGTCATTGATGACATTCTGAAGGAGGTGCGTGATAGTGGTGTGTATCTACTACCTGGAGGACGGCTGGTCGACCTTGAGTATGCGGACGATATTGTCTTACTGTGCGATAACATATAGGCTACCCAAGTCACGCTTGGGCAGTGTGCGATTAGTGTCCGTAAGTGTGTGGTGCAAAGTACTTTTGCAGGATTGGGAGGAGCCAGTGTCTGTGCTCACCCTCGGTGATGAGCCGTTGGAAGTGGTCGAAATGTTCGTGTATCTGGGTAGTTGTATGAGTGCTGATGGAGGTGTGAGTAGTGAAATTTCCACCCGAAAGTCAGAGTGGCATATGCTTATCTGGGCCATCTTTGGCGACATTAGTCTGACCGTAAAAGGTCGGGTTTATAACGTTCGGTTGCGAGCAGTTCCGCTCTACAACTGTGAAACCTGGCCTGTTCGAGCTGAAGACGTGTGACAACTCTGTATGTTCGGTCATCGTTGTCTTCGTAGGATTGTTTGTATCGGGTGCCAACTCGATGCAAATAATTCCAAGGTACGACAGCATGTTTCGGCATGATGGAGATCGTCATTCAGTAAGTGAAGTCATCTTGAAACACCGGCGTCGGTGACTTGAACATATGTTACGCATGTCGTCCTAGCGCGTTCCATACCTTTCATCGTTTGATATCCCTGGCTCTTGGACTGGATGGGGGAAGCAGAGGGATGAACGGTAGTTATATCGGGTTAGCATCGGTTGGTTCATCATGACTCCCTGAGTGGGGTCCGAGAGATCACGCAACTCAGTAGCTTGAGACGTTATCAGATATGTGTCAGAATGGAAACCAATGGTAGTCATACTGTAGCTTCCTTCTATCCTCTTCTACTGAGAATTAATGAATATTTTGTTTTGAATGTATCTTACTGGACTGTCCTTCTAATCATTCTATTCTTACTGTGTTGTATTTTTATCCACTTCCCATCGTTTATTTCTTCATAATGTTGTTATATTGTTTTGTGTGGTGCATTGCTGTACCATCTTAGTGTTCTGATAATATAGTGGTGCTGAACTATTCTATTCCTGATAGCATTTATTGGCACTTTTTTAAGTATATATTATACTTAAGCTTTAATCATCGCTTTGACTTATGATATTGTATTTCGTTCTTCTCCTATAGGTAATATCGCATCAAGTGTTGTAACACACTCCCTGTGCAACTTCTTCGGTTTACCAGATATAACAGGTGCTATCGAAAGAGCGAAGTATCATTGGGGGTTGTGTGGTCAAGTGCTAGTAGTTGGATTCCACCTTCTTGGATTATTTTTATGGGCAAATTTGTTGTTTCAAATAACTGAGACCAAGTGGTCTTCGCCAAGTAATTGTGGTTGTAACTGGTTATGATTACATTTGTTGATATTGTCGTCGTCATCATAAATTTTATTGTTTGTGAAATATCTGTTGTACTTACAATCCTGTTGAAGCGCTGACAAATCACATCTTGTCCTATTCGTGTGTAGGGTACTCTTGTATTTTTGAAGTAAAACACAATCGTACAAAACTAATTCCTATGTCATAGTAAAGGAAGTAATACTTTTCAAGTGGCTTCATTTCACCTAGGAATTAACATTATTCTGGATAAAAGCTTAGTTTTTGATGATCTCTTCAGTTCGAAGTTCAGAATTGTTTTGTGATTATGATCTGTTGTAATTGTGAAACAGTCTGTTATTAACTTTTTCCATCGTTTCTCATCAAGCACACCCGCCTTTTAACTAGTGTATTTCAATACAGTATGTATATATTTGATTTTTTCATATAAATAACTTTTCTTTTCACTTTCTGTGCTATCACATCCATTCAGCAAAAGGTTATACGGTAAGTTAAGGCACTGATATTCCTGTTTCGTAAAATCAACTTTTCGTGGATCCTTTCTACTCGTGCAAACCTACCTCGCGTGGTTAACAATTTATAGGTTGTGATGTAGTCAAATCGAAGCAGTTCTACTGAGAGTTCAAGTACTTCAGTCATTGAATTTCATGTGCCTATAGCAGAGAAAAGTAGGTCTGCGATTCACTTGCAAGATGGATGACTGGAATTATAGATGCAAGAATTCAACTAATCTTCAGTTACTCTCCAGTTGGCAGCTATTCGACTGTCTCTCGAATGGAACATAAATACAGGACCAACTATTGTCGAAGTTGAGAAGGCTGTATACAACCTGACTTTAGAGAGACAGTGATTTCTCAATATTTTATTTTTTCTAGTTTTTTATTTAGGCTCTTATTAATTTGTTGTTACATTATTACCATTATTAATATTACTGTTAGTCCCTTGGGTTCCTAATGGAACATAGGGCTTCAGTAGCACGTCTCCAGTGAACTCTGTTCCCTGAAATCTTTTGAACCTGGCTCCACGACAGCCCACAACCTCTCATTTCCTCCTCGTACGATCTCCTCCATGTCACCCTCACCTCAAACACCCAACTCATCGCTTCCCATGGGGATTCCACTCGAGCGACTGGCCTGACGTGTAATGTCCCAGTCAGCCTTCTCAGTGTATGCTCAATCCATCTCCACTTCCTTCCAGTGCATATTTGTTGGGTGATAGGTTGTTGGTTGGTTCGTTCCCAGAGCTCCTTGTTGCTTATTCTTGTTATCCTGGTCATCTGATCTTGAGTAACGAGCCAGCGTAAGCAGTTGTTGATGAATGTCTGTAGTTTATTTGAAATCCCTTTCGTGACGCGCCAAGTCTCTGAGCCGTACAGAAGCACTGACTTGATTGAATTGGTGTTGAAAATCCGGATGTTGTTCCACATGCTGAGTGCAGTGCAGAAGATCTCCACACTGGTTTCAGGCTAATGAACGCCTGTCTTGCTTTTCCGATTCTGACTTTGACATCCTCATCTGTGCCTGTGTTGCCTGTAGTTGAAACAGTGCTTCCTGATAGGTGAAGGAGGTTACTTCCTTTAAGTTTCTCCCGTTGATGGTGATTGGAGTTTTTTGTTGGTGGTGGTGTTGTTGGTTGGGTATCTTCATCACCTCTGTCTTCTCTATATTTACTTGAAGTCCCGTCTTCGATGCCCTGCCTCACCTCTTCTGTCAACTTGTTAGTTTTCGCCTGTAGATCTTCAAGTTTGTGTGATATCAGGCACAAGTCATCACTGGCGAAATCCAAATATTCTAGATTCTTTTCCGCAGTCCAGCTAGCGTATTCCCCTCTTCTCTCTCCCCACTGTTTGCTGCATGATTCAGTCCAGTTGACCACAATCAGGAATATGATGGGTGATAGTAGGCTGCAACCTTGTCTCACTCCTGTCTTCATTCCACTTCAAAAGCACCACTGAGCTGAGCTTTGCATTGTGAATTACTTGGCTGGCATGTGGCGTCTTCATATAGTTGTTGAATGAGGTTGATAAAGGTTTGTGGTACTCTGTAGTAATGAAGCAGTTTCCAAATTACTTCTCGGTCGATGCTGTTGAAGGCCTTTTGAAAGTGGATGAAGTTGAGATAGAGAGGGTTGACTACCATTCTATGCTGTGTTCCAAGATGATGTGTGGCGTAGCGTTGCAATTTGGTCTGCACATAATGTGTACTTCCTGAATGCAGCCAGCCTGTTTCGGTCGTAGTTTTGAATCCAGCACATCCTTAAGTCTCTCCAGGATGATGCGGCTTAATATTTTGCTTTGGGTGAACAGGAGAGTGATTCCGCACCAGTCCTTGCAAACAATGAGGTCTCCCTTCTTCAGCAGTTTGACAAGGTAACCCTTCTTCCTATCAATAGGCAGGTACCTTCTCTTCCTTCCACACCTTCTGCAATAATGGTGTGAGCATGTCTGCTGTTCTCTCTGCACCTGTTCTCAGTGCTTCTGGTGGGATCCCATCTGGTCCTGCTGCTTCCCCACATTTCACTAGCTTCATGGTGTTCACGACTTCCATTTTTGTTGGAGGATTTATGTTCACTTGTAGTTCAGCGGCTGGGCTGTGGGTGGTATTTCTGGACGAAGTGCAGGTGGTGGTGGTCGATTCAAGAACTTCTTGAAGTGGTCGGCCAGCCCATTGTTTCCTTTCTTTCTCTTCTTTCGTAATTAAATTTCCTTCTTCATCTTTTATTGGTTTCGTCTGTGTTGATCTCTTCCCGCCAGATAGCAACCTGGTTATTTGATACAATGTTGTCAGGTCTCTCTACCTGCAGCCTGTTCTGCTTCACTTGCCAGTGTTTCGTAGAAGTGTCTTTTATCTTTCCGTGCACTCTTCTTCACTTCTTTGTCCAGTGTATTGTTTTATACATTGTAATCAGCTCCTCTTGTCGTTGTTCATCCCTGCACTACACTGGTTCATCGTCTGCTTCACTATCCTCCTCTCCCTGCTCTATCAGCTTCCATGTATCCATCGAGATCCACTCCATTCCTTATCTTCTTTCTTCTTCCTTCCCAATACGACTGTGCAGGTTTCTTTCCACATCTCTTTCAAAGACTTCCAGTGTTCTTCCACGCAGGTCTCTTCACGGATGTTCCTCGATATCTCCCATTTTGTTTTGATGGCTGACTGAAGTGAAGATTTTCTTTGTAGTTTCATCCTTCAGTTTGTGTTCTGTGTGTTGTACTTGAACTGTTGTCTATCACCAGCTTCCTTGAAGGCTTCCAACTTGATTTGGAAGGTTTCTTGCACTAGACAGTGAGTGGTCTGAACCTACATCTGCTCCTCTTCTTCACCTTGTGTCAAGTAGGCTGACTGCGTCTCCATTATCTTGAGATTGAGATAAAGTCGATTTGATTTTTAGTGTGTCCTGGTTTCTGGTGAGATCCATGTCGCTTTGTGGATATCCTTGTGCTTGAACACACTGCCTCACTACAATCACCAAATCATTGAATGCACAGAATTCTGCAAACAATTCTCCATTCTCGTTCATCACCTCACCGAGTGCTTCTCGACCCATGGTTAGTTAGTTCTCTTCCTGTGTTGTCTGCTCCCAGTTTGGCATTCATGTCGCCCATCAGAATGCATTTTGATATCGCCAACTGACGTCTTGTCCAGTGTTGATTGAAGTTGTCTGTAGGATTCCTCCTTTTCTCTTGCTCTGCACTATTTGTAGGTGTGTAACATTGTATGATTGTGACCTTCCTTCCTTCTTTTTGAGTTGAACCTTGCTGTCATGATCGTGATGGTGGAGGAGGTTGGTTCCCACTACATGGGAGTGAGCCTTCGATGCTGTTGGGGACATCATGATAGCCACTCCAAAACCGAGTGTGCTGGTGGTTGTCGTCTGGGTGACAATATCGGAGTAGATTATTGACTCTTCTCCAGTTGACAGTTTCGAGAGTCCACTCCCATTCCATCTGCTTTCGCAAATTCCAAGCACTTCAATGTGATACCTTCTCATCTCCTTTGCAATCTGAGCTGCCTTGCTGGGTTCAAACATGGTACTGACATTCCATGTCCCCACGTTTACTTTCGCTTTCATCGAGGGAGAGAAGACACGTAGGCCAATTGGCTTCCCGAAGGCAGGCTTTCACCAACTGGCGTCATTTCGCCTCTCCAATTCCAGCGGGGAATAAGTTTGTTTTCCTTTTTTATATTTTGTTTGTGCTTTGAAGTTTGTTTAGCGGTTAGATTTGTTTTCCGGGGTAGGGTTGCTAGCTCTATGCTCAACCTTCCCTCTTTGTCGGCGCTTATTACCGGCTAGTAACTAGTGAACTGGGTAACCAGGCGAGGTTATGTAACGCAACATAGTCTGTTGGTACGTAATACAAGTTTTGCACTTCATTGACTAACTAGCTGAAGTCTCCTTTCATTAACACTTATGCGAATACCACATCGTTGAGTATCACCTTTCCTTTATCATGCCTTCATGTTGTAGTCAATAATTGAAGAATTCATAAAAGCTATTAAAACTACGCAGAAACAATGTCGAGATAGATCGCGACCCAAGACATTTATTCTTTCAAATATGAAATCAACTAAGAATTTGGGAGACGTTATTAGGCACTGCATGTTCAATCTTCATTTGTGCCACCGAACGTTAAGCTAGGAGGTCGACAATCTTGACGGATCAGTGTAATGTGTCATTCGCCTACAGCCTTGATATAAGTTTTGGGTTAGTTTAATCTGCTGAACTGACCGGCGATAATCGCAAACATGACGTCTATGTAAATCAAACGTATCAGTAGTGTTGTGGTGGTTGGTCTCGACAAGTTATGCATCTATTATACCAGTTCTGAGCGAACAGATATTTCCGTTCAATGAAAATTGTGGGGCATTTCAAGTTGGTACTCAGCACGAACTGTTAGTTGGTGAACT